TGTGTGTGTGTGTGTGTCTGTGTGTGTGTGTGTGTGTGTCTGTGTGTGTGTGTGTGTGTGTGTGTCTGTGTGTGTGTGCTGTGTGTGTGTGTGCACTGTGTGTCTGTGTCTGTGTGCGCGAGTGCGCATGCGCGCACGTAAACAATCAGTATATGGAAATGCTACGTTGGTATTTTTGAATCTTATGGAAGAAGTGGTAAAGGTTCAAAATTAATTTCTTATATTAATAATGACAATTTTAAAATGGTTTTCCATTTTTGGAAGCTTACATCTTAAGAGGATGATTTCAAACAAAAATTTTCAAATTCTTTGCTGCTGATTTGGATATGCTTTTCAGATATTTTCCCCTATAATAATTTTCCTTTCCCATAAAGGTTAGGCTAGAGAGATTAGGTGGAAATATGGAATCATTACTTGGTTTGCAGTTCTTTTTGTGCTCTGTCCATCTTTGCTGCTGCAATAAACTAAAGCAGACATAGCAGCATCTTTTGTTATAGTATCCTCCTGGTTTTATCTTCTGTGGCAGCCTTTTTGGTATTCAGAGTAAAAATTTCTGGCTCAATGGGCAGGAAGTCGGTCAGCATACCGCTTAACATTCTTAGGTTGTAATTGAAAGAATCCCCTCCTAATCAGTATTTCAAGAATTTATCTAGTCATAGATTCAAAGATAGCGCTAATGGCATCAAAAGGAAGAGCACTTTATCTGTGAATTGTTCACTTGATTAAAATAGAACAAAGCAAACGTCTTCTGTTAACCTAGAATGTGATCCTCCCCCCCACTCCCTCCTCATTTAAAAGGAAGGCACTTTCTCTAATCAGTACACAGAAAACTGAAAAAAGAAAGCATTCTCCCTGGCTGAAGTAGGGTTTGTATTACAACTGTAGGTTTTCTGTTGAACCCCCTAATCTTTGGTGATGTATGTTCAAGGCTAACGAATAAGATTTGTAGAGGAGAGGTGTAGAACTAGTGCTAGCAAACTTGCCAGACTTGTATTGGCTGTGTGAGAGACAATAAGGGGGTAGCAGGGATGGTGAGTGGGATTCAGAAACAATGGAAAATAAGTGCAAATTTGAGAAAGTTGAAGGAGAGTCATCACTTGATCACTCGATAGGAACAGGGTAGCTTGTGTTATCATCCACTGTAACTTCTGTTCAAATGTACAGCTAGGAGGTAGCTTTATCAACTGCTTTGTCTTCTCTTACCCATCTACGTCTCTGTAGCTGAACCTCAGGTGACCTCTATCAAGATTAATACGCAGTATAATAGTATTTCAGATTGGCCAAGAAATGCTTTTGGTATATGAGCAAAACTTTTTCTTTCCCCCTCATCTTAGCTCTGCTTTATAGCAATGAAACTTTTCCTTTAAACTAAAGAGTCTGTCTAGGCAGAATTGTAAGGTCGTTTGAGCAGTGTATTTGAGAGAGGTTTTTAAAAAGCTCTTTAAAAGCAGTGGAAATTTCCAGGCTTCATGAACCAAAAAAAAAAAAAAGCTTTTAGGGTCTGGTTTAATAACTGGTGCTTTGCAAGAAGAGAAATATGAAAAGGAACCGCAGACATTCTGGATGTCAGCCTGAGAAATTTTCCACTGTTTCCTTTAATAACATGCAGGCATGCTTTTATTGCTGGAATTTCAGTTAGGAATCCTTTTCTGACTGAAACTTCAAGCTATTTGGTGAGCAAGTGCTTGCTGAAAATCAGTTGTCACGAAATAAATTCTGATATGCAGAAGACTGTGCATAAACCACTGTCATGCTGGGTATCAACTACTGATTATATTCAGTTTCTTCTTTTACAGTGTGTTAACTGTTCCTAGTTCTACATGGTCACTGCTAGGTGACAATACATCCTTTCTTGCTTCCGATGGTAATTCTAGACCAACATTTCCAGTAAGGACTCTGTGCTGATAAGCCAGAAATCTTAATTATCCTATCTTTAATATACAAAGGAAGAAAGACGTTAGGAAACCCATCTTTTGTAAAAGAGTTAAACTTAAAGACTATTTAATGGTTATTTTAAAAATTATTGTAATTTCAGATACAATGGTGAAAATCTAACTGAAAGGATCTAAAGGTTCAGCCCCATTTGTCTGCCATAAAGCTCTTTTCTGTGTAAGTTGCTCTTGTTTACTAAAAGCTACCTGACCTTTCTTCAAGATGTAGAGGACTCTGTACTTGGAATGTATCTTGTCTTTCTGTCACTACAGATATTTATTGTTGACTTACACTGTTTTGGGGTAGGGCCTAAAGAATCCTTCATATACGAGGTTGAGGTTTTTGTTTTCTTAAATGCCAGGGTGTGAGCTAAGCTACTGTGTTGTGTAAAAAATAAGCAACGTCACACCAAACTCTTGTCTTTCTAGTATTAATTGAAAATGTAAAACCAGAACCCTTTATATGCATGTTAATGGAATTTTGTCTTTTAAGACAACGTAGTGCACTTCCACAGCTCTCAAGTCAAGTCAGGGCCATTGTGCTTCTTTTTATGTTACCTCTCTTTGTTGGGCTACTTTTTTTATTTTTTAATAATTATATAAAATTTCAACATCTGACTTCCTGACTACTCGTAATCCTTTCTCACATATTAAGTTACTGCTAACGAGAATGCTAATGACTAAAGTTAAAAGCAGAGCATGCTGAACTTGACATGAACCTTAATATCTTTTCCAGCTTATGTAAGGATTGTATTGAGAGATGTGTACTGTTTAATTAGTTGCTCACTGATTAGAAGTACTGAAATTACTGCCATTGCTTTGTATACCTTTTTTATATCTTGTATGTCTTTGTATATCTTATATAAATTTGTTACTTTACAAATTTGATGCAAAGTTAAAGCTTAAGATGGGATTTCAAAGTATTAGTGAGACTTTTTCTTCCTGAAGGCAAAAAAGTATTGCTGAAGACATAAGACAACTGAAATGCATTTATTGTCAAAGCCTAAAACCAACTTACTTCGTTTGTTTGGGCTTTGGATAAAGCTAGGGTGGCAGATGAGGTGTTTCACTGTAGTGCTACATGCTGCAGCCTTACAGAAGTTCCAGTGTTCTTTGGGGTTTTACATTTATCTTTGTTCTGTTTATTGCAAACTCTTCTATTGACTTAACTGGTACGTTTGCTAAATGCTTGATAGAAATAAGATTGATCTTGACTGAAACAATTCTTCACTGAGCAAAAGTTTAATGCATGAAGATTTGGTCAACTTAAAGAAAAAAACTCAAACGCTTCTTGTTCTGGTAGTAGGTTCTAGTTTGGTTACCTCTCATATTTTATTCTTGTCCTCTACAAATGTAGATTTGGTAACTACAGGTAGTAATTCCAGTCAGAGTGGTCACTGAAGAAGAAGCCATGGGGGTTTAAGAGAACTTTCTTTTCAGGGTGACTGACTGGATATATCCCTACCACTTGGTTTAGGAGACTCTTCCTTGCTCCAGTGATGCTTTGGTCTTTATTCCTATTGTTTTACCTAGGGAAGAAGAGGGTGTGCTATAGCCAATAGATCTTTATTCAATTTTCCTCCACTCAGTAAAATAAAAAATAAATCTGAAATAATTTTTCTGTCAAAATGACAGAACAGTGCTAAGTAGGGTTCCAAAAGTTGAGTGTTGTCAGTGAAGGAAAGGATTAGAAAATTGAAAATACTTCATTATAATACAGTCATGCTATGCGTTCCTCATGCATATATGTATTTCTGGTATATGCAGTATCAAAGAGTATAATGGACTGTATTTCTCAGTATTTTTAATGGGACACAGAATTTCCAGCATTTCTCTCCTTTTTTTTGTATGTTTGCCTTATGGTATGAGGCAGATCTATACAAAACCACAAGTGTAATGGAAAATCAACAGGAAGAAAGTGTTTTCTTCTTCACTCATTTCCCTTACTGTCCTTATTATCAGATGGCAGGGTTAAAAATAAAAAAAGGATACTTTCAGATAGTGTATAGCTGAACTACAGAGCTGACAGCCACAGAATATCCAGCAGCTAGGAGACTGGGTCCTTTTGAGCTGGGAAATTCCTGAATGGTAGATTGAAAAGTTTGAGGGTATGCTAAAACACACTCATATGCTTTTTTTTCCTAGGCATTTCTACTGGTTTCTGCTGTAGCGAATACAGTGCTAGGTAAGTTTTCTATCACAACTACTTTGTTTTCTCTGCATCAATTCTTATAAACTATTGATATGTAGGGAATGAAAAAAGGGCGGAAATAACTTCAATTCTCTTAGAAAAATAAAAGATTTTTTTTTAATGGTCTGTGTTAATATGGTATATAGTTTGCTGTCTTCCACGTCACTTAAACTTGAGGAAGTGCATGGTATGACCTGGCCTTGGTATGTACCGTGGTAGCTAACACTGTTAGGCTTTTGGGGAATATTTGACCATTAAAGAATGCTCCTCCTAAGATGTGGGATAGAGTGTTAGCATCCTTGTGTGTATATATCTTCCTTTGTTTTTTAATTCTCTCTATTGCTGGTACTAGAGTTTTCTTCTTCCTGAAGTAACCAATAATTGTTCTGAACAAAGTATTTATGTTACTTTGAAAGACCGGTGATGAAACGGGATTTCTTAGCTAGATCTGTCTGGTTGCAGTGGATATAATGCAAATCACTGTTGGGTATTGTTTGTTTGAGATTTGGTCATAGCTTCTGGGGTAAGCAATTTGGCCTTTAATACTTGATTAGATTGAGATGTCAACTTCTATACCTGTTGCTGGAGAGTAGTGAAACTGAAAACCCATCTGGACATTGTATTCAGTGGGATTTTGGCCTCAAGAAAGGAAGCACCTCCTTTGGAATAATCTCTTGTCATAAGTTCAACCTCTGTGCTCTGCAGTTTAGCAGCTGCCCTGAAATACAGTTCAGGTGAGCCGGCTTGGTTAGAATAAGGTAGGGTTAAAGCAAAATCAAGAAAATGAAAGGAGACAGTTGAAGGCAAACCTTTGGAGAATGATCTCTTCAAAAGACAGAAGAATTTGTGGGTTTTTTCAGATAGCTGTGCTCGTCAAAACGTTACAGTTCCTAAGCCATGTTTTGCAGACAGATGACACACTGAGGTAAATAGTATGAGGTGGAGACAAGCGATAAATAACTTTTGGTCCTGACTGGATGCAGGCACTTGTCTGAGCATATTGTCTGTCATAAATCTACTTTCAATGAAAAAACGATCCCATCAATTTTATTCTTTAAGAGGATTAGTGGTATCAGGGTTAAGTTTTGTACTCTTTTTTCTTGTGTTCCCTCCATGGTGTGTTGTGATCATCCTGTTATTGTTTGTACACTGTTACTTCATCTGTATGAGAATCTAACGAGTTTTTGTACTGATGAAAGCTCAGGAGTAGGTAAGGCTTTGTAGGCTTTTGAACTTTCAGTGCACTGTTAGATTCACTGAAAGTAAGGTAAAAAATACTGGACTTTAAAAAGAGAAGGTATTCTATGCCCAGAGACAACTACTAGTAACTTTTCTCCTAATAATTTTGACAGAATATAAAGAATATAAACTTCTGACTGTGGCCTACCTAAACATAACTTCCCACGCTGTGTGGGATGTACTATAGCAGGTCATTCGCTCATGAATGCAGAGTGGCATTTACTGACAAGAAAACACATTGCATTGATCGTGCTTCATAGCTGATCTTCTCCAATTGCGTGACATAAATGCATGACCGTGTGCTCCTCATTTAGTTACTGTGTTTTATTTGCTTATCAGATGCTAATATGACAACTTTTCTGTGCAGAGATGTGACTGAATACTAATTTTAAAGATCAAACAATGGCTCTCCAACTCAGAGTTTGGTTGAGTGTTAGATACAATTGAGTTGGTCTACTTGTATGAGAACTAAAGAAAAAATTCACATAAGGAAAAAGTAATAACAAAAAAAATCTACAGCTCTGTCCTGGAATTTCCACCAATGCAATATATAAGAATACATAAAATTTTGCTTCCTGATGATGTGAAGCTGCACAACTGCTTAGCCATTTATCTATAAACAAGGAAGGACCTGGCTTTGAAAACATTATAAATGCTTTTGGCACTTAAAGAGGAAGGATATCATCCCATCTGGTTTTGGTAGTCACTGGCCTCTTATACTAACTTCCAGAATGGCTGCTAATCTTCCTAAAATTACTTGGAATTTCTATGCTAATGTTGCTGGTGTCATTTTTGAGAGTTCTGCAGATAAACATTAGTGTTTGAGAAGTGCCATTTGTATAGAAACTTTCATGAGTAAGACTGATTTTCTGCCTGCTTGAGGAATCCTTGGGAGCTTAATGTGAGATTCGTTGAAAAATGGCTTTTTAATGAAGATACTGCTTCTTTAATAGAACATGACAAAAACTAGAAGCATAAGTTTTTTATGAAACGGAAATTCCTTGTAGAGAATAGAAAAGTTTGGACCAGAAAAAAACCCAGAGGGCACTGAGAGCCTTATTCAAAAGCATGCCATTTTTTCTCGTAAATGGGCGGTGAAAAAAGATCCTTGATGGTAGGAATGAATGTTGTGGTCAGGATTACATACTCTGTGTCCAGTAAAGATGAGACTGTTGATGTATGTATGAAAGATCTATACATGTATGTATGAAAGATCTATACATGATATTAAGAAAACATACCTCTTAGATCAGATCCAAAAAGAATGTGGTAATGTATCTTAAAATTAAACAAAGTAGGATCAGTTGTAATGTTACTTTCCTGTCTTAGTGGCCTATTGTTGTAAATGGTTTATCTCAGTTATCTTATGTACTACATCCCAGTTTATCTCTGGGCTGTAGTACATAATTCCCTGATGACAATGTATTATTGTGTGTAAAAACTCATCATGTAATTATGCTAGCATCAATCCAAACACCGTGAGCAAAGTTAGTGCTGGTTGGACACTAGCACTAGTTTTGTTTAGTCAAGTATTAAAAGTATTAAAAGTCTCTCCGGTTAAGGATTCCGTAGGCCATCTAAAAGTGGTTCCTGTGTTCAATCACCATTTATAAATCGAAGTTTAACTTGATGCAACTGGTAAAGCTTGCCTATTGCCCTTTTCTTGTAGGCCTTCGATGAGACTCTTTGACTTTCCAATCTCTAATACCTCTCTGTGTGGTATTACTCTGTTTTATGTAGCATTGAGCAAAGATACCAACCTTTTCCACCTAGCTTAATTTTTAAATAATTGAGCTCTTAAATCCAAGATTTTATTTGACCAGAAATATGCACACTACCACCATAGCTTTGTTTTGAGCATTAAATTGTAGCAGATGCTCTGTGATAACCTGACTCTATTGTGGAAAGATTAATTAACCCAACTGGGGGAGGGAAATTCTGTTCTGTTCTGTCTTTATTTTGCAATTTCACTGAAGGTGCTCTACTCTACTAATCTCTGTTCAGTATGAATGAAATATGGTAAGGAATATGAAAAATAAATAGGGGAAAGGGATCCTAGTTAATGGAATGCTTAAATATGTTGGTATAATATAGGTAAACAACTGATTTTCCTTCAAATATTGAATGGTAAGCATTTTTGCTGAACTAAATGAATACCTCTTGCATCCAAACAAAGTGTACCTGAATATACTCAAACTTAATCAGATTTTAATTACAGCACTGACCTTGAAACATTTCCATATTTCAAGGACAAATTGGGAATGTCACCTTTGTATTAAGTAGCTGTACTTATTCCTTTCAATTAAATAAATCATATATAAGCACTGATGTTATGCATGGAAAATTTGAACTATTTTGATTCCCTTTCTTCAGTAGCTTATTTTGGTTTTAGTAGTTTCTGATCTTGTACTCTCAAATCTAAGAGTCTAGTTATGCCAATAACTCATTAACTTCATTAACAGGCCTTTAATTATTATTATTAGATCAGCAAGTACCAAGACCTAATCTTAAAAACAAAGAGGATGTGTGTTTTTTCAAGAAATTTAAAAAGTAATCTATTTTAGTAGCATGATGGAAAAAGATACTAAGTAGGATTCTCAAAAGCATTCTTAAGACACCAGGCAATTAACTCCCCTTAAAGGCAGTTTGTGTGAGTTTGAGTACTCACACAGTATGAAGCCCTGTAATGGATAGACGCCTTCCCCCCTACCCTCTCCCTACAGCACTCAAACACTTCGTCAGAATATGAATCTACATTTTTGAAAGTGTAATGTTTCCAGTGTAACACACTGCCATTAATTCTATAACTTAGTTCTTGTGCAAACACATGAATGAGTGTTCATAAGTACTGCATCTGCCGACTAGCAAAATATGCCAAAGGCAAGGCAATGTGTTTTATAGAGTATATTTCTTTCATGGTCGTGGGCCCACCCTCATTGATGGGTGTAAATATATTCCATCAGTTAAATTGGTGACTTAAATTCCAGCTTAAAGCCAGCTCTAAAAGAATGTTCTCAGTCAGAAGTTGTGATCTGTCATAATCAAGACAGTATGTATCAGTGTTGTTTACTCTTCATTGGAAAAAACCTGTGTGTCCTGATTTGAATGTCACTGGAACTCTGTAAGTACCCATACTGGGCAAAGGCCAGGTTAAGGTACAGGCCATCGACAGACTTCAGATTTCCATTTATTAAATGATTGTCTACTGCTGTGTAGCAAATTGGAAGTGATTGTTGTGCTACTGCTTATGAGACTTTGTGTGGGACTAGCCCCCATCAGTTTACAGAAATGACTACTATAGCGTTATTTGTCTGTTGTATCATCTGTGCAGTGCATTGTTTCAGGAATCTGTTTAAATTAAGAATGTGAAACGTGGATTAAAGAAGCGTTGAGAGGTGGAGCTGACAATACTATTTGAAGTTTTTTGAATGACTTCACATCCTTAGTATTTTCAGTGTAAGTTTTTATATGTCTTTGAAAAGCTTATGGAAAAAATAGTATCACTTGCCATAAGGAAATTTCTTCTCTGTTAGCCAGCAAGGTAGTCATTGAACAGGGTGCCAGTGTGACCTTGGTCACTAAATTGAGTGCGTCTTCTACATGGGTTACTCACTGGAGAGGCAGGAAAGCGGGTTTTTAGCACTGTTGGCTGAGACTTCCAGCTACTGTTTCAATTGAATTAGGAGGGAGGTAAGGGTGGCCTTTGCTATGCCCTTGATCCTGCTGCTGCCTCATGCTTTAGGGGTGTGTATGGG